TGGGCCCATCCTCATGCTTGCTCTCGGGGAGAACTGTCCAGCGCGAGAAAGATGATGTTCATCTCCCAGGAGCAAGCCCCCAATAGACGAGAGCGTTTCGGAAAGTACAGCACAGTCCTGGGTGGCAGATTTATAATGGGATTAATGGTTCAAAACCTTCTCCTTTGCTTCCTCGCAGTGTCCAGCCCCTCCCCAAAATGTGTTGCTCGCTGAGTGCTCAGCATTGACTCCAGGACACAGCAGCTGGGGCGAAGGATTTGGCTTAGGGCAGATTTGGGAAGACAGACACTGGGGCCACCCCAACACAGCAAACTCCCTTCTCCCTGATCTCCACCTCTGAAGTTTTATTCACACAGACCTCCTGAACTCTCAGCAGGGCTCAGGGGATTAAATGTGTTAAGAGGCCTGGCAACCATGAATAATAGCAGGAAGGACTATAACGAATTGAGTCCTCAAAGCCAGGCTCCATGCTCCATGCTGTAAGACTGCCCACTCTGGGGCTGGAGAGATTGCTCAGCAGTTAAGAGCACTTGCGGCTGTCCTGGAAGGCTCACACTTGGTTCCCAGCACTGTCATGGCAGCTCTCAACCGTCTGTCACTTCGGTTCCACGAGGTTCAATACCCTCTTCCAACTTCTCAGGCACCAAGCATGTAGGTGGTACACACGCATACACGCAGGTAAATATTCATATGTAGATTCTGGAAGGCTGGTTTTACTTTGACCCCTGTTTTGCAGGTGAAGAAACTAAAGGTGCAGAGAGTTTGGATGGCTTTCCCAAAATTACTAAGCAAATTCTAGAGCAAAGGTCAAAACCCCGGCAGCCTAACTCTAAAACCCATGACCTTGACCTCTGTGTGGACCCAGGGTCAGGGGATACAGACCACTCTGGGGTTATCGGATTAGGTGGTTTGTTGTTAAATTGTTTTGATTGGTTGTGGCAGATTCCCAAATTGCCCTTGAAACTTGTGGCAATCCTCCTGTATCAGCTTCCCGAGTACTGAGGCTACAAGCCTGTCCCCATGCCTCTGCTTTATAGGTAAATCAAAGGAGGCTGAGGAAGAAGTTAAAATGATTTGATGCCAGCAGAGCCAGGATTTGAATCCACTCTGATCAGATTAAACGTCTCTGGTAGGGCACAGTTTACTTCTCCCAAGACCTAGCCCAAGCTTTCGGGAACAATCTTTCTCTGTAGACATCCTCCATACCTCACAAATACCTCACAAATGACTTTTTACGGGCGGGAGTTGAAACGGGGTCTCATTTGACACAGACTGGCAAAACTTGCTGTGTTTTTTTTGATTACAAAACTTTGATTTTGTAATCTTCCTACCTCTGCCTCCTAAAGTCTCGGATTACAGACCTGAACAACCACACCCAGTGGGTAGCTGTGGTCAAAGCAGAATGTGGCAGCCCCCCCTTACCCTGTACCTTAAAATCAATTGAGGGTCGCAGTTCCCAGGGTCTCTTTGGCTTCCTGCTGATGCAGGTCCCTCCCTCCACCTGAAACCTCTGGCAAAGGTGTTTCTCAGACAGTCAAAGGCCACCCCTGTTTGTAACCTCCTGGGACAGAGTGGTCACTCTTGGGATTGGGGACTTGCAGCTTCGGAAATAAGGACTGGTCAAGAGATTTCTCATCCTTGTCTCCTGGCAAGAGCCACCATCATCACTCACTCCCTTACTCTCCATCACTCATGCCCTTGCCCATCGGCTGGCATCTGGCTCAGTGCAGCGGCCTCACAATAAGTCAGAGATGTGACAGATGCCATTAGCATAACCTTTCCATCTCTCCTCCCAGAGCAGGCTGGCATGGAGCGTGGAGAGGAGGCCCAGAGAGGTACAGAGTCAAGAGAGAATAGTTTTTTCGTTTTGTTTTGTTGTTGTTGTTTTTGGTTTTTGAAGACAGGATTTCTCTGTGCAGCAGCTCTAACTGTCCTGGGAACTCACTCACTCAGCATGGCCGGGAGCTCTGCTCACAGCATTGTTGGTTATATGAGCGGTTCTGAATTCCATGAATACAGGTGAAAGATACTTCGAAATTGCAGACCCCCTGCTAAGCCAACTTCCACAGGTGGTAATCCAGGTGTTTTGGGAAATACACCTGACCCCAGAACTCGGGAGTTGGAGGCAGGAGAGTCAGGAGTTCAAGGCCAACTTGGGTATGTGGAGGAGTTGGAGGCTGTGAGGATATAGGAGCCCCATCTCACAAAAGCCTCAAAAACAGTAATAAAGCCTTCCACAAAATCAAAATCCAAACCAAAACACATTCCCTAATAGGATGTAGTAAGGACCAAAGACGGGACTGAGGGGCCCGAAAGATGTTTATGCACAGGGACAATGACAACATAACGGCTGTGGTGTGGTGTTCTTGGAGTGACTGGCACTCATCTCCCGATGCTTCTGCTCAGCGAGGCGCCCCTGCCGTGGCGTGGGAAGGAGACACCTCCCAGCAGTACTGTTAGCAAGGCCTAGCTGTTCTTGGTTTTGTTTCTTTTTCATGTGTTCATGAATTCACCTGTGCATTTTTCACATCTGTGCAAATGTGCATGTATGTGAATGCACACACACTTAGAGAACAGAGGGTTAACCTAGGATGGTTTGGCTTTGTTTTTTGGGGTGTTTTTGTTGTTGTTGTTTTTGTTTTAGGTTAGGATTTTTTTTTTCTTTTCAAGACTGGGTTTCTCTGTGTTACAGCCCTAGCTGGTCTCAAACTCACAGAGATCTGCCTCTGTCTCCCAAGTGCTGGGACTAAAGGTGTACACTACTACCTCCTGGCTGTGAATGTTCTTTCTCTAGACACTCTGGTTTTGTTTTTTTTTTTGTTTTGTTTTTTGTTTTTTGTTTTTTTGACAGGATCTCTCCCTAAGACCCAGGGGTGGCTGATTAGACTAGACTGGAAATATAGTTTCTTTTCCTATTGTTGTGGTAAACATTCTGACAGAAGCAACTCAAGTGCAAAGACACTTCCCTCTTTGCTGGGGAATTGGAGGCAGCAGAAGCTTGAAGCCTCTGGTCCTATTGAATCCGAAATCGGGATGGAGGAGACTGATGAGTGTGCTGGGCTGCTTAGCTCCTCCCCTTGTTACTTTACTTTCTGTATGTATAGGTTTTGCCTACATGTGTGTCAGTAGCCAAGGGGGCCAGAAGAGGGTGTTGGATCCTCTGGAACTGGAGTTATAGACAGTTGTTAGCCACCGTGTGGGTGCTGGGAATCAACTCAGATTCTCTAGAAAAGCAGTCAGTACTCTTTTACTGCTCAGCCATCTCCCCAACCTCCTGACTTAGAGTCCAGGACCTCAACCAGGACAACATATGGCTCAAAGTGAGAGGGTCTTTCTGCCTCAATTAATGCAATCAAGATATAGATAGATATATAGATATTTAAATTTTTAAATTAGCTGGGTTGAGGTAGCACACATCTTTAATCCCAGCACTCAGGAGGCAGAGGCAGTCGGATCTCTGTGAGTCCGAGGCCAGTCTGGTCTACAAGAGCTAGTTCCAGGACAGGCTCCAAAGCTACAGAGAAACTCTGTCTCCAAAAACAAAAACAAATCACATGTTCTGCACAGTGGGTAGAAGAGTCCCAGAAGAAATAAGACAATCTCCAGTTCTGGAAGGTGATAGAGGCACTAACACTAACTGGAGGGACCATAGAATGTATGGCCACATGTTCACCTTAGCTAGTGACACTTGGAACAGGCTCTGATCTGAGACCTGAAGCGACAATATAGGAGAAACCAATAGCACCGCCTCCAACTCAGGGATCCATCATGCCTACTCTCCAGGTAAAAGTCCTAGGCCGCCTGGAGCAGTGTCCTTATATTTCTCACTATGTTTCAGCTGGCACCACTGACCGCCCTTCTGCAGTTAGTGGAGAACTTTTCATTACCCTTCTACAAGGGCAATCCCAAGGCAATCCCAATTTCTGCCTTGAACTCCGAAGCCCCCCTTGCCTTACCTCTGGTTTGGGGCAGAACTCAAAGCTGCTAACTGAATGACTGGACCACAGAATAAATGAAGACCATCTATGAGTGAGGTTGGCCACACCTCGTGCTTATTCTATGGAGATCTTCAGAAACACGTAGTTGATCGGACAAGTTGGTCTCAGATAAAATCCCGGCCCTTGGGAGGATAATGCGGGAGAATAATGAATTTGAAAATAGCCTGGACTGTAGAGACAGATTCTGTCCTTAAAAACCAGGAAGAAAGCAAAAGAAAGGAAGGGCAAGGAGAAAGGGCTAGGGAGAAAAGGGGAAGGGAGGAAGCTCCCATCCTTGTTGAAGAAAATCCTACCTGTTCCCCTTTCCCACCAGGGCCTGATCCCTCTAAGGGACCCCAGTATTTATTGAGCAGCTGTTCTGAACTGGGGAGGCAAGCCACATAGCTCCCTCTCCACAGGCTTAATCCAATTCCCCGTACCCCTCGTTCCCACCATACAGTTCAGGGCCCTCCAGCCTTCCTTGTCCCGTATTTGAGTCTATTTGAGGCTGCTGAGTTAAGGGAGGGAGGAGGTCTCCCAGCCTCTAGTCTCAGTCTGCAGCCTATCCCAACGCGCGCCCCCCACCAGGGTTCTGTCTCAGTTAACCTTGGGACTGGTCCCAGGGAGGTTATACAACTCATAACCCCTATCCACTGAGTCTCCTGGAACAACCTCAAACCTAGCTGTTTCTCCTCGCCCCGCCCCCCGCGGGATCCCTGCCCAAGGGTACCCTTCAGAGCCCACCACTCTTGGCCTGCAGCGCCCTGGCCCCTAGGTGCCGGTGGCGGCGGGAGCTGCCAGCTTTTTGGAATTCCTAATCGCTCCTGGCCCCGGTGATTGGCTGTTCAGCTCTGACCCCACTTGGGCAGCCGCCTGGTTGGATAAAAAGGGAATCTCCTTGGGGCTCCAGAGCATTAGACACCGGAGGGGGCACCTGGGACCAACTTCGCGGAGCAGGGAGCCCGGCGGGGGGGTTGGGGGAGCAAAAGACCCGCGGCCTCAGCCCCTCCAAAGAACCGGGAGATGACGGGGAAAGCGGGGGAAGCGCTGAGCAAGCCCAAATCTGAGACAGTGGCCAAGAGTACCTCGGGGGGCGCCCCGGCCAGGTGCACAGGTTTTGGCATCCAGGAGATCCTAGGCTTGAACAAGGAGCCTCCTAGCTCCCACCCGCGGGCTGCCCTCGACGGCCTGGCCCCGGGGCACTTGCTGGCGGCGCGCTCCGTGCTCAGTCCGGCAGGAGTGGGCAGCATGGGGCTGCTGGGGCCCGGGGGACTTCCCGGCTTCTACGCACAGCCCACCTTCCTGGAAGTGCTGTCCGATCCGCAGAGCGTCCACTTGCAGCCACTAGGCAGAGCGTCGGGGCCGCTGGACACCAGCCAGACGGCCAGCTCGGGTAGGTGAGGGCGAGGCTGCTCGCCTGCCACTCTGCTTGGGAGAGCCGCAGCCCTGCGCTGTGGGCTCTTGCCTGCGGGCCCGCGACCTCCCCCGGGAGGAAAAGTTCTTGCAGGCCAACAGATCTCAGCCCAGGCCTGGTGTCAGAGGGCCCCGGCCAGCGATCTGGAACTCAGGGTTTTCAAATTCAGCTTGTCCGACCCCCTACTCCGTTCTTGTGAACTAGTGTCTGGCCCTGCTCGATCGCATCTGTGGGTTGGGGCCCCTCTGGATGCTGAGCTCCAGGTGGCCAAGTCCTTGTCGCATCATCTCCCAGGGAGCTTAGCTGGAGGGCCCCAGCTCTGCTGCTCCGCCCGTGGCCGGGGCCTACGCTCCAGAAGCATGATGCTACTCCTTGGGCTGGCGGGACAGGAAAGCGGGGCTGGCCCTGGCCCTTGCCCCTGTGTCCAAAGTTGTCTCCTTTTCCTCCCCTCTTCTCCGTTCCAACCCCATGTATTGTTCAGCTGAGGATCGATGTCCTTCCCCTGCGACCTGGGAAAATAAAGCCACCACGGCAGCCAAGGGGCATCCCTCAGATCCAACCCAAGCGGCACTCTGTATTGGATCCCAGTTTTTCTCTGGATTAGGGACCCTGGATGAGCTCCCCTTGGCCCTTTCAGGGCCACTTTCCCTGCGGTGTGTTCCAGCTCACCGGCTCTTAGTCATTCAGATTTTTCGTGCCTTTGTTTATTATGTATTAAATGTAGAAGGGACAACAAAAAGTGGTTCGTCGCAGGCTCTCCGTACTCGAACAGAAAAACATTTCGTGGGTGCCACGAAAGAGACAGCGAACCCGCAGTCTCCAGACCTTTCCAGAGCCCGATCTCCCCTCCAGCAGGCCCCCATTCCTTGGGTCAACTTGGGACTTGGACTTGGCTGTTGCCGCAGGGCAGAGCACCTACCGGGGTCCCTGAGACCTCAGAGCCTACCTCATTCTCCCACGACCGGGCCAGTCACCGAGCCTGGGCCTTGGCCTTTCTTGCAAAGAAATTTGTTCAAAATTTCTGGCTTCAGAAACAGACCCGGGGAGGGTCAGCCCGGGCTTAGGGATGAGAATGGTTGCCCAGGCCCAGGAGGTCTTAGTAGAGACCACAGGCCACCACTGTGGAAGGTGGGGTCCTCACCATTTTTTGCGGCTCTGCGGAGCGCACTCCCCATTCCGCCTCCTGCCTCTCCGCCCGCTTTTCAGATTCCGAAGATGTTTCCTCCAGTGACCGAAAAATGTCCAAATCGGCTTTAAACCAGACGAAGAAACGCAAGAAGCGGCGACACAGGTAAGGGCCGCATGGTTCTTTCTTGCCCCCATCTCTAGCTTCCTTCTCCCGGACTGGGTCACCCAGATTTTGTTCTCTGCGGAGGGCAGATGTGAGGGCCCCGGCTGCACCAGGGCAAAGACACCTGCGTGGTTTGCCAGAGCCTGTCCTGGGGCCCTGGCACCCGGTGAGGTTGACTGTGTAAGCCGGAGCAGCCGCACCATTTCGGCTTTCTCCTTGTGCTGGAGAACGGAAAGACCAGTTGGGGGCCAAACCTGAGTTGGAAGGGTGTCGGGGCGACTCCAGACCCCTGCACTGATCAGAAAGTCACAGCCCCGGTGGGGAGCAGATAAACAAACTCCCACCTCCCGCTGGAGCCAGATTCGTGCAACCTCGGCTCTGGGCGCCCCTTTCCTCCTAAACCGCCCCATGTCTTGCCAACTCTTCAGTTTTCCGTTGCAATCGCCACCTCCCAACCCCCCCGCAAAACAAAACAAAACTCCCGGGACAGCTGCACTGCCGGACCTTTGCTTTCGACCTCTGCTCCTTTATGTTACCGAGCGGACCGCTACCCTTCCGTGAGCCTCAATTTCCTAGTCTGGCAGATGGGGAAGAAAGTGGACTGCCTGGTTCCACCTGCGGAGACCGGAGTTGGGTAGAATACACTGGTGGACAAACCAAGGGGAGTTGGCCAGCTCTAGGAGATTAGTGCATGCTTTTGGCCTTCCGGGGACCACGTACGCAGACTAATAAACAAACACACACGCTTATTTTTAATGTGAAAAGATGTCTTTAAATAGACGTTGAGTGTCCAAAGTTAAATTTCAATGGTTCTGCCCTAAGAAGTATGCTCCCTCCCTTCACCCTAGGAGGAGGGCAGACTCATTCACGTCAGCATCAACACTAATTCGTTCCTAGTGGAAATCTTGAGGTGATTTTTTTTTTTATTTTTTTAAGCAAAGGAAGGCAAGAGAGACAAGCGACTAAGTTTCTGGGAGCGCAGTGCGCAGGTCCTGTCCCTGCCTGCACTCCCCAGCTGGCCAGTGTCTTCACTTTTCTTTCTGTCCTGACCAAAGTCGGGAGGCCACAGGGACAGTTCTCTGGTTTGTGGTCCCTTCGCATCCTCTTCTCTCCCGAATTTGGTCTTAGTCTCTACATTTTCGCTCTCCCACCCCCACCCCAGCTTCTTCGTGGCTTGAATTTCCCTGGCTTCCCCCACCCTCAAAGGTCATTACTGACTCTCCTGACCTCAGAACAGATCGTGGCTTAAGGGAAAGTGAACTTCAGTTTGGGTCTCTCTTTCCTGCAGGCAGCTGCTGGCTTTAGCTCGGTTTGTTTTATTCTTTTCTCATTCCTATTCGATACTATCCTGTGCATGTGATAGCTGGGGTGTGAGGGTGAGGGTGAAGGACATTCTGGAAACGGACCTCATGGTCCAAGATAACTTTGTGGAGTGGATTCTCTCCACCTTTTCGTGGGTTCCAGGGAATCTTCTAAGACTCTAAGGCTGCCCTGCAAGTGCCTTTACCTTAATGTTTAGCCAGCTTGCCAGACCAGTTTATTTTAAACAGAATTTTTTTATTAGTCCTGTCACTGGTCTTTAAAAAAAAAAACCATCAACATCTATTAATTGAAACATTACCTATGCATCTGTGTCCGACAGGTCCTAAAGGAATCTTTTCCTGCTGGGACAAGATCAATGCGGTAGGAGCACTCTGCTCCTGCCCTGGGGGTAGCATTGAGAGCCCAGGAATGAGCACTCCCCAAATTCTGGGAGTGCTGGGAAATGCCAGGAAGGCATTAGGGCATCTTACTCCGCTGACCACTAAAAAACAAGTGAGGTGTTTTTTGAGCTCAAGTCTGTACCTAAGGTCTCTCATTTCCTTCACCTGCCCCCCTTATTAGCAGAGAACCATTCTGGGTATTGGTGGGTTGGGAGCCAGATAAAACAGCTCACCAAAATCAGAGAACTAGCTACCCTGGGTTTCTGTCTATTTCTGGTGCATGAAGGTAGCAGATAATTGGAAAGAAGAATGGCTATGGATTTCAGGAGGAAGGATAGAAAAACAAAACACACTTTCCTGAGCTTCTGTCCGAGCCCCTGGAATCCCGTGGTGGGAGATGGGCTTAGGAAAAACAAAGCAGTTTCAGCAGGACCTGGGGGTAGATTGGGGGTGCGGCGGGTGACCCAGCTCTGAGATTTTGTTCTTGGGGAAAATGTAGATCCTTTTGCAAGAGATCCTGGGCTCTGCTGCTGCCAGGAGCAGTTTAGGGCCACTGGGTGAGAGCCGGGGACCCTGCTGAAGAGTTTGTGGTCAGCAATAGGAAGAGCAGTTCTGAAGTGGGAATGAGGGAAAGTTGGGTGATGTAAGGCTTGCTTCTTCCTCTCTCTCTCTCTCTCTCTCTCTCTCTCTCCTGACCGGCCTGTACTGTGTTGATCAAACTGGCCTTGAACTTGCTGTGTTTTTCCTACCCCATTCTCCAGAGCCAGTTGCACAGAGCAAGCAGTCCCCACTGTGCCTAAATTGCCTGAATTTTGTTTTTTGAATGGACTCTTCAGAGTACAGAAAGGCCCTTACTGACCCTAAATGATCCACAGTCAGCTATCTTCTTAGGCTTTGGCCAGGCCACACCAGTTGTGTTCCTCAGTTTGCCCAGTTTTAAAAGGAACTTGCATTTGGTTGTTTAGTTTGATGATCTCTCAGGGATCTCCAGCAGAGACAAACAGAGAGCTGCGGATCTTCAAAATCCTGAAGAGTTAACTTTTTTCTTTCTTTTTGTTTTGTTTTGAGACAGTTCTGGCTAGCCTGGTGTACACCAGACTGGCCTCTAACTCACAGAAATCAGCTTGCTTCTGTCTCTGTAGTAGGATTAAAGGCATTACTACCCTACCCAGACTACGAATTAACTCTCTGTGAATATAAGCATTCCACATATTGCCATCAAGAAAATAGACAAAATAACTTAAAGCCAAACTATAAGGAGCACGACTTTCCTCTCCTGTGTGCCCTGATAATATCCCTGGTGATACTGAAGACCTTTCCATATTAACTCGAGAAATGAGGGTTATATGTGCATCTTTTCTATGCACTAGGGAAGGGGAGGGCTTAGCAGGGAGACACTGTACATATAAACCCTGTGCTGGTCCCAGGATCCAAATCTCAGAGGACCAAGAAGGGACATGCCACTTTTTACAAGTTCTGTTCATAGAAACTGGACCTGTGGACTTGCTGATGAGGGTGTAAGATAAAGGCCAGGTAAATAGAGTGGGTGTGAAATCCGTGGAAAGAGTTTGCATCTGTAGTTGGGTAGTCCCTGGTTGTGAACCCCATGATATCTGAGGCTTGTTCTTTGCACCTTTTCCTGGCGTGAGAGACTGCAGCTTTCCTCAGTTTCTTGTCATTGTTTTTTTTTTTTGTTTTGTTGTTTATTTGTTTTTTGAGACAGGATTTCTCTCTAAGTAGGCTGTCCTGAAACTCACTGTGTAGACCAGGCTGGCCTTGAACTCACAAAGATCTGCCTGCCTCTGTCTCCCAAGCGCTGGTATTAATGGTTTATCATCTCTTTAAATGGATCAGTGTGGACCATTCTGGGGGAGACCAGAGAGGGGACCAGTAGGTGCATCCTCACACTTACCTGTGAGCAGTTGAATCTGTGTGATGGAAAGTTGGAGGGGATCAGAAGGAGTGACTCCATTCTCATTGGACAAACGCTGAAATTGAAGCTGCATTTAGTCCTTAAGGAGAATCTTTACATCTGTCTGGTGGGAGGAGCTCAAGATGCAGGTCCACTGTGCCGAGGCTTCATTCATTTGATGAGATTTCCTCTTGTGGGAGAGGAAGACTGACTTTCTTCTTTTGTGTTTTGTTTTGTTGTTTTGTTTTTTGAGACAGGGTTTCTCTATGGCTTTGGCACCTGTCCTGGCACTAGCTCTTCTACAAGAAGAGGTCCGCCTGCCTCTGCCTCCCAAGCACTGGAATTAAAGGCCTGTGCCACCACCACCAGGCTGGAAGACTGACTTTCAGTCCTTCTAGAATTTTCTTCTTAACACACTTTCCTCCCAGCATGTTTCCAGAAAGATTCTGGGTAAAATGTCACTTAAAGCTAAAGTAATGTCCACCACCTGAATAATGTGGGCCCTCTTTCCTGGATAAAAAAGTGTGACTATGTGTTCCTGGTGTGTGTGAATGTGAGTGTGTGTGTGTGTGTGTGTGTGTGTGAGAGAGAGAGAGAGAGAGAGAGAGAGAGAGGAGTTGACTGTGACCGAGGCACAGGAGAGAGAAATCCTGCTTTCTCCAAGGTAGGCTCCTCCAAGTTTCCAGGGTTCTGAGTTCTGATCTTGCTCCCCACAGGACAATCTTTACTTCCTATCAGCTAGAGGAGCTGGAGAAGGCGTTCAATGAAGCCCACTACCCAGATGTCTATGCCCGGGAGATGCTGGCCATGAAAACGGAACTGCCAGAAGACAGAATACAGGTACCAGCGGCTAGCCTCTCCAGTCGCCTGGAGACATCTACGTCCCCAGAGGCGGGTACTCATCCTCTCACCATCTATGTCCTTCCCTGGGGTAAAATCATTTGCCAGTGATCGGTAAAAAAAAATAGTTTATCTAAGTCTATTAAGATGACAGGAACTTGCTGAATACCTAGCATGTAAGTGGACACCAGGTGGACGAGAGTCTTGGTAGATACTCGATAGGTCCTGCCTGCTCTCCCAAACAGTAGGCTTCCTGGGCTGGGGACGGGGATAGTTCAGTGGAGCAGTGCTTTGCCTAGCATGAGGGAGGACTCAAGTTCTATTCCAAGTCACCGCAAAAACCAAGTCAAACCTCAAACCAAAATGAACAAAATGCAGATGGCAGACTTCCTGAGACTACGTTGTGGTAGAACCATGAGGAGGCCTGGCGATGAGAGACAGAGCTGACTGGAGTGGGGGGGGGAAGCTTCCTGAGCAAGCCTATCATAGCACATGGCTGTTTTAAGACCAGAGTGAGGGCCAGGTGGTCATGGTGGCTGAGAAGGGGAAGCTGGCTTTTGCCTCTAACCCTCTTCTCTCCTCCCTATGAAGAAGCCTTGCCCCCTCTCTTCTTATCCCTGGTCACTGTACCCAGCTCAGTGCTCTGCTCATGACCAGGACCAGGCAGCCATTGTCCCTGCCCACACCTCCTGCTCAATACTTCTTCCTGGACTGACCCAGAAAGTGACTGGTACCCATGCCCTCTAGTGGGACTCGCCAAGCCCCTCCTCCTCTCCTGGGTGGTTGTGTGGTCCGTGTAACCAGCCACTTTTCTGGGTTGGTGCGTCCTCCTGTGGTAGGGATGGAGGGGGGCCTCCCAGGCACAGCATCTTCCCCAACCCAGAAACCCCAGGATACAGGAACATCATGAGGCCAGAGAATTGAGTGGGAAGAGCTGCTTCCAATTAGATCTTAGCCTCAAGTGCAAACTGCTCCAGGAAGGCGAGGAGGGTGGATTCCTGCAGCTCCAGAACTGGCCCTGGTGAGGGGATATTGGCGGGTGGAGATCAGGTCCTGACTTCCTGCTACTGTTGCCTGCCCAGCATCTTCCTCTCTGTCTCCACTGGAGGTTCTTTCTGCCAGCAGGTGTCCCAGGCGCGTTCTAGAGATGGAAGCAAAGGTTACGGGTTGTTCGGATTCTCCAACTAGAGCACCAAGGAATGGGAATGAGGCCAGGAGCTGTTTTTCCAAAAGAGATTTTCTTTCATGAGATATCCGTTCAGAATTTCAGCTCCAGGCTTTAAACATCGACACTAACAATAAACTCAATTATTCATAGGCAGCTTATGCTTATGGCAGAGACCTGGGACTGTTCCCACCCAGCTGAGTTTTAGTGGGGGAGACCTGGGTGTTGACTCTGAACTGTTTGTGTGTGTACACACGTGCATGGGGCTGGGGGTGCCCTGTAAACCTGGTTTATCCGGTCATCTCCACCCGGCCTTCATTAGCGGCAAGTTGGCCATTACATGCGGCTTCGAGGCCGCCCGTTGTTGACAGGCCCGTGTGTGCCCAGCTCCTTAGTAAGAAGGAGCCTCTGTCCCTCTAGTATGCTATCTAGTCTCTGATTGGCTGTGGTGTGGTGGGCAGGTCTGTTGGAAGCCGGGACCTCCCTGTAACTGCGCTACACACGATCCCAACAGGCCCAGGTTAGCTTTACTAAGTCACCTGGAGGTTGTCTATAGGGAGAGGTTTGAAGTCACCACAACCAGCACAGGGAGGAGAGGGCATGCATTGCTTTGGGACTGGGACTGCCAACTATGGACGGGCGGATATCGCAGAGATGAGGTCAGAGTCTTGCCAGTCTCCTGGGCACCACATAGCTAAGTGCTGCCCCCTGCAGGAATTTATGAGCGATTAAGTGGTTTTGCCCCCAGCAATTTAACCATGCGGCTTAGTAAATGTCTTGAAGTGTACTGGTAACAATTCCAGGTATCTCAGAGAAGTTTTCATGTGCCAAGGGTGTATACAGGCAATGCAGGGTGACTTCGGGGGGGTGGTGCCACTGATCCCAGAACCAGGCTCCTGGGTTCACAGCCAGGTATCGCCTCCCAGAGCCTCCTTGTACTCACGGGATTAGAGCGAACAGACCCCGCCCCTTGTGCAGGTGCAACTGGCTGCACGTGAGAGTGGACCCCGCCCCTTGAACTCCGTGAACAGAGTTCAGAGCAGTGAAGGACACGTGTCCACGCTCGCTCAGACTCGACTCTGCTGTCATTAAATTTCAGTGACAGGGGTCAGGGTAGAGACCAATAGCCCTCCTTTAGAACTAGGGAAAGGGAGGTTGGCAGCTTCCTGCGCTCAGTAGCTAGAAAGTGGAGGTAACTAGAAAGTGGTCGAACGTGGTCTGAAAACCCACCCTCTGCCTGGGCTCCTTGTGTCTGAGGGCACTGAACCCACATTTGGGAGAACAAAGGTGGTTTAAGGTCTGGGTATGTTGACGTGAGGAACTAACGTATCTGAAGATGGATGATTTATTACCACGGCTACCACTTCAGCACCGTCCCTTGCCTGCTCCAACACTGGGCCAGCAGGGGGCGATGTGCGTGTGCAAGTGTGTGCATGCACGTGTGTGCCTGTGTGTGTAAGAGACGGGGAGTCTTTAGAGTCAGGAGTTTACAGGTAGAATGGAGCAATGATTGCTTTTTGTTTTGTTTTTGTGGTGGTGGCGGCACGGGGTAGAATTTACAACCTTGGCCCTGCAGTGGTGGCACACGCCTTTAATCCCGGCACTCGGGAGGCAGATGCAGGCAGATCTCTGTGAGTTCAAGGCCAGCCTGGTCTACAGAGTGAGGTCTAGACAGCCAAGGCTACACAGAGAAACCCTTTGTATTTGCCCAGCGCCCAACCCTGAGCTACCTGAGCAGGAGGCATTATCAGGATTACCTGCCCCACCGAGCTCTGAGCTGCCCTTGATGGGATGGGAGCATGGGCCAACTAGAGTTCAGCAGTCCTAAGTAGGCAGTTGAGAAGCTTCACCCTTGCTCATCCAAGCCAAGTAAAGCCACGGTATATCTGAGACCTCCTGCCTGGTCTAATGACAATCCATGGCACACACGTGACTATGAGGCACACCGACTAACATCTTTGTTTCCCACAACTCGTTTGTAAAAATAACAATACTAGTAGCTCCCCAAGTTCTCACCTAGCTGTCAGTATTGTGGTCTGAGCAAGGCCTCTGCTGAATACTTGGCACCGCCCTAGGCGTTCAGTGCCTGGCATGCCTTGTAGTGTTTCATCACTCAACATCAGATGAGTCTGGTGTTGATTTCATACCCATTTTCTGGATGAAGAAGCTGAGGGGCTGAAAGGTAAAGTTCATAGGAGATTGATAAGAGACAGGGATTCAGAGCCCAGTTTGACTGCTATCCCATGAGATGAAATGACACTCTGTATACCAACCGTAATTGGAGCAAAGGGCAGCGACAGTGGGCCAGGCCTCCTTAGGCAGCTCCGGGCTGGGAGTGTAGTGATGTAGTACATGCTGGGGAAAGAAAACATTCTATGTCACTACAGTAGAGTTGGCCGCATGGTTCTCTTTATGAAACAAATTTAGAATATACGCTCTGGAAGCTGCTTCAAGATGTCGGTCCTTGGGAACAGGAAATGGATTTCTAGACTAATTTTATTTTCTCTGAGGTCACACATTACTAGAATTGCAAGAGAGGGCTATGTACACAGGGTTTGGGTTTTGGTTTTTCTTTTTGGAGCTAATGGCGGAACCTAGGCCCGTGCCCGTGTTTGGCAAGCACCCTGCCACTGGGTTTTTTTTTTTAGATTTGTCTTTAATTTTTTTTTATGTGTTTAACTGTGTGCACAATATCTGTGGAGGCCAAGAGAGGGTGCTGGAGCCCCTGGAACTGGAGTTTCAGACGGTTGTGGGGCACCATGTGGGTGCTGGGGATTGAACCCTGGGTCCTCTGCAGGAGCAGCTGGTGCTCTTAGCCACTGAGCCATCTCCCCAGCCTCCTTGGCCCTTTTTTAAAACATATAATTTTTTTCTTCTTTAAAATTTGATTTTTGCTTTCAATTTTTGTGTGTGTTTGGGTGTGCTTGTGATATAAATGCATTCGGGCGTGTCCTCGGGGACCAGAGAGGAGGTCATGTGTCCCATCCTGTTACTCCATGTCTTATTTCCTCTGGACAGGGTCTTTCCCTGAATTTGGAGCTAGACTGGCACCCAGTCAGCCTCAGCAATCCTCCTGCCTCAACCTCCCAGGTTCTACGATTATAGGCAAGTGCCGCACCAGGTCTGGCTCTGTTCTCTTAACCGGTTATTATGTTATTGCTCTTCCTTCCCTCCTTCCTTCCTTCCTTCCTTCCTCCTTCCCTCCCCCACTCCTTTCTTCCTTCCTTCTTTCTTTCTTTGAGACATGGTTTCTCTGTAGCTTTGGAGCCTGTCCTGGAACTCAATCTGTAGACCAGGCTGGTCTCGAACTCACAGAGATCCACCTGCCTCTGTCTCCCAAGTGCTGGGATTAAAGACGTGTGCCACCACCGCCTGGCTCTATTATTGTTTTTAATGAAAGAAAGGTACCCTAGTATAGAAAAGCATCCATGCAAAGTGGATGGATATAGTCACACTGCTGGTAGCAACTTATTGTGTGGGAAAAGGTCAGCTTGGGTTATCTGGCTAGCATTATTCTACTCTGGCTTTTAACTTTTTAATTTATTTTTATTTTTAGACATGGTCTTGCTATGTAGCCCAAGCTGGCCTGGAACTGGAAATCTTCTTGCCTTACCTCCTAAGAGCTGGGATATGAGGGATGTATCACCGTACCCAGCTACCACCTAACACTTCTAACATTCCCTTGGCTGGAGACCACTTTGTAACAGGCGTGGTTGGAGCTAAGCATGGTGGCCCATCTGTGATCCCAGCATTTGAGAGGCTAAGCTAGGAGGAACTAGAGTTCCACCATAGTCTAGGTTCCATTGTCACGGCCAGACTTGGAAACACAGTGAGA